GACCCCGGTCAAAGAGAGTGTTCTGTGCTGCGTTCGAGGTCACACCTGACCGCGCGGCCAGGTTGCCGCTGGGCAGGGTTAGCCAGTGACCTAGGCGCCCTCGCCTTAACCTAAGACTTGTCGTCGTTGTGTTTATCCACCCGTGTGCTGAACTCTTATCAATAAAGAGATTAAGCCACCCAAGCTTTTACTATCCTATCACCAATGTTTAGAGGTTCAATCAATCTATAACCCTTTACATAGATAGATAGATATACATATATATATATGTGTGTGTGTGTGTATGCGTGCATGCATGCTTATGAGTGTATGTACACACACACGTACTTATATATATGTTTATATATATATCAAACATATATACATATCTATCTCTATATAAATATACTTCTAACTATCTGTATGTGCATTTATCTATATCTCTCTCTATATATATCTATATATATATATATCATGTGCGCATGCTAAATAAATATATATCTCTATATACATGGATGTACATAAATACACACATATACAGTGAGATCTTTTTCCACGTGACGCAGACCCAGACGACATCTTGGATGCAAACGAAGAGTATCGCTCCGTGTTGCAGCTGAGCGTCGGAGGTTTTTCGCTGCTCTACTCTCCCGAAATCGACTGCGCCGACGCAGATGCCTACCGGGAGGACCATAAGGACATGAGTGCTTTCGTGCGTACCAAGTGTCTTAAAGATTGTAGAAGAACCACTCTAAGGTAAGATGCCATTTAGGAATGTGTTTTACAAACACAAACTTGCGTATACATGTCTATGTGTGTGTGTATGTTTATGTATATTATATGTATATATGTATATATAATATATATGTATATATATCTATATGTATATCTATCTATATCTATCTATCTATCTATATATATATATATTTATATATATATATATATTATATGCAATTATATGTCATATATGTTATTTATATATGGTATATACATGTGTATATATATAATTTATATATGTCTGATATTGAAATATCTATATCTATATCTATATTATATATATATACATATATGTGTGTGTGTGTGTTTGTGTGTGTGTGCATATGATATATATATATGATTTATATATGTCTGATATTTAAATATATATATATATTATATCTATCTATCTATATATATGTATATCTCTGCTTCCTTACTTACTACACGAATTTCTCCCTTGCCACTTGTCTTGCCATTAGATATCTTCCTAATTTCCTCCTAATTTCTTGCCACTTGAAGCTCTACGCAGTTCTGTTTTGTATATCTATATATCAGTCTATTTGTTTGCTAATGTAATTTATGCATTTATCTATTCATAGACTAGTTTATTAAATGATTTACTTATTTTTTAAATCTATTTATTCATATACAAATAGGGCAGATTTAATGATCGTAGTTTCAGCTTCATAATTTTTGGTTCATTTGCCGTTTTGATCCGCCATGTAACAGGTTCAGACAAAGCGACTGGTGGCTGGACAACATGCTAACCGGAATCCCGCGCATCATCGTTGGAAAATGCACAGGTGATGGCGTTGTAAATAGCATGGAGCTCTTTAAGACAGAGGATTTACCTGCACTGGCGGAGGTAAGGTTTTACGATGCTGAAAAATATCTGCAATAATGTTTGAAGTCAGTCATAGGATTTTATTTATCAAGTAGCATCTCCGGTCCGGAGGTTGACAACCAGTTGCCTCCAACTATCTCTGTCCTCAGCCTTTCTCTTTGCATCTGCAAGCACGTCGGTTTGACTTCATTCTGCGATGCCATTTCCCCAGGTTCTTCTTTGCCTTCCTTTAAATCTCATCTTCCTCTTGGCATGAATTTAATTCTTTGCTTAATTCTCTTTTTTCTGATCATTTCTCGTTATTCTTTATTTTTGAGCATATTTGTTTATTTTCCTTTTTTATTATGTTTTCGTTGTTACTGGTAGTTCCTGTCCCCTTTGTTCATTTTAACCTATATTGATGATTATTATTCCTGTTCTTGCTGCTATTTATTCATCATTACGTTTTTTTAATACTAAATTCAGTTTTTTTTCCAATATTTGTATATAAAAATTATCCCTAAATTTTCGTTTCCTCTGTTGTCTTAAAACTTAAATTGTAAAGGTTTGCTTGCGAATACCAACCATGTAGAAAGAGAGAGAGAGAGTAAAAAAAATAATAAAAAAATGAAAATAAATAATAAATAAATAAATAAATTATTAATAACTAAATAAATACAGCAGACGGTTTCCCAACCTTTGCAGAATGAATGGGATCCCGACGTCTATATAAAACTTCTTGGTGAGTTTTATCAATTTCATGAAGCAGAAAGTGGCAAAGGACACCACGGCTGTGTACATGTTTGAACGCCGGGCTAGGGATAATATCTACTGCTCAAAGCTGTCAGAACCAGCCAGTGCATTTTGCCCTCTTGGTATACACAAAAGCTGCTTACCAAGACAAATCTGACGAAGGAAACACCGAAGATGCAAGTTAAACACGGATAATGTTGAAGTTGTAAGTCTGACTTGCCTATTATGGCGTGTTTATGTGGGAAATGTGTATTTGTTTGGGTCTTTGTGATTAGTTCCAGTTTAATGATTTTGATGTTAAATATATGAATACTCGTTTCAGAGAATTGCTACTGTACTTAGATAATGATGTAATTACTTGTGAATTAGATCTTTAAATATCAATTTCGTGTATCCTTTTAAACTGCGATAAGATATTGATATAATACATAATCAGTGTGGCATTGCAATTAATGTGTGATAAGATGAACATGATATATAGTTAGATGTGTGACACTGTAATCAGTGTTTATATTACCTGAATAATTTTGTTGCTAGCATGATAACACTAGGATTAATGTAATCATTAATTTCAAACTAGTGTTCTGCCTTAATAAAACTAACATAAGCCTAGTTTGATACAGAATCTTGTGTCCAGCAATTATGTTAGTAAATGTGATTTATTTCCCTGTCACTTAAACCAATGTACTGTAAGCTATCTTGGACACAACTGATTGACTGGTACACAGCCTCACATCACTGCAATTACTGTTTAAATAAGAGCTGGACAGTCTATAAATGTGACATGGTCTTTACCTACAAGCAGTGTCACTTCCCTCCATGTTGGGGCTCCTTTCTTCTGTCCAAAAGCTGTGCACAATAAATAAATAAATGACTCATTATTACACCGAGTTTAAGGAATTACTTATTGTTTTATTATTACACCGATTTTTAACGAATAACTCGTCGTCTGTCTTTACACCGATTTTAACATATGATTTATTGTTTTTCAATATCACACCGATAAGATACGGAATGCACTGAAATCCCCCAGTGAGCTATCGCGATCACTTTGTTAATGTATTTTGAATTACATGTTAATATTTCATGCTTTGTGATATTCAAGCGGCAGGATTTATAAATATAAATATATGATACACCATCTTATTAGCATGTATTATGTTTTCATCAAATATATACATACATACATACACACATACATATGTCTATACATATATATTATATACATAAATATATATAAATATATATGCACTTATATACATGGTACATATATATACAATGTGAAAAGTGTGTGTGTGTGTGCGTACGCGTGCGTGTGTGTGCGTACGTGTGTTTTGCCGTGTGTGTGTGTGTGTGTGCGTGTGCGTGCGTGCGTGAGTGTGTAATGTGTGTATGGTGTGTGTGTGTGTGTGTCCTACATAAATATCCATATATTATGTCTAAATATGTTTCTATATATATCTATTTATGTTATATATCTATTCATGTTTATATATGTCTGTATATATTATATATATGGGCCTATATATATTTATATATATGGGCCTATCTATACATATATATAAATATATATTATATATAAATAATATATATATATATATTATATACTATTATGTATATATATATACCACACATACACATATGTGTGTGTGTTGCGCACAATACACACTATATCTACTTATATATGTATATATAAATTACATATATATATATGTATACATATGTATATATATATGTATATATATGCGGATATATGCGATATATATATATATAATATGCACACGTGCTTGTCTATACTCACATACCTACATATATAACTCTAATACATTTATGTCTTATACATACATTATATACACACATATATTTTTCAACAACCATTCACGCCACGGCAGGCCTTCTCAATTCACTATTGAGAGATTATTTGGCCGTGCCATCCATGCCCACTGGATGCCCTTCCTAATCAACCGCAGTTCGACGCGCTTAATACTTATACCATGGCGGTGACTTCTCCTATGACACATACATTTTTTTTTTTTTTTTTTAACTTTTCAAGCGATATGTCACCTTCTCGCCGTGAGATCGGCGAGATGACAGAGAAAAGGGAGGAGAGGGGTAGCGTCATGGGACATGTTGGGCACGATTTTTATTATGGAAGAAACAACCTGATTTTTTTCATGCCTTTACAGGAAAAAGTTGTCATGTGACACTATGACGGTGCGTGGGGACTGGGGAGGGGAAGGGAGCACGTTGTTGGTGCACGAGGCTGTTGGTGGAGGGTTGAGTTGAAGGGGTTAAAAAAAAAAACAGTTAAATGTTCACTGTGCCCATAAATTCCGCTACTTATATTTACATATGTACTCACACACACATATATGTACTTATATAGAGGAGAGTATGAATAAAAGGAATGATCCTACTAAGGATAACAGCTCAAGAGAATGGAGCAAAGGAAGGCGAAAGAAGCGTAGCAGGGCGACGAGGAGCCAGGAGGACGAGGGAGCGAGGGAAGCCGGAGGAAGGTGCGAGGTATACACTCTGCTTTTCGTGTCACAGGATTTTTTGCCAAGGCTGTGTGAAAAGATGATATTTCATTGCTAGTGCTCTCTCACGGCGCGCTCCCAACAATTCCTGCTGGATCTCTCAACAGGATTTTTTAGGGAGGCACAGCGCCAACGGGATGGAGGGAGGCTAAAATGCAAAAACTATTGATGATCAGTTGCAGAAGATAATCAACTTCAGGCTGTCCATCGCTTTGGGGAAAGTAATCTTGTTGAAAACAATCCGAGTTTAAAAAACAAAAACCCCAAAAAAAAAAAAAAAAAAGATTCAGATCGACCACTGGTTTTACCGAATGTATACACTGTGACACCACAATATAAGAGTGATTTGAATCCTACTCTACAATAACAATCGTGCATACTCATAACGCTTAAACGATTATTTAAGAAGAAACATTTCCCAACTTCTACTGAAGTTCTTACCGAAAAGGGATGAAGGAACGAGGGGGTTCGATTCCCTGTAGTTGAAAACCAGCTGCGAGTGGTGCACAAAAGTGAAGTCAGAATGTACGTAGTGTCTGGCCTTAGTTCAATCACTGCTCCTTGTTAGGGTTTCAAGTCTTACGGACATATCCTCCTCTACTTTGACAAGATGTCTCCTCAAAACTAGGGTATCCCATCTACCTGATACCAGATTCTTTAACTTGTACGGAGGACCTCACTGTAGAAACAACAAAGCAAGGAACCACCACTAAGGGACCAGGCTGATCACTTAGAACATGTACATAGATATACAATGTGAAGTGGTGTGTTTGTGTGCGTACGCGGCGTGGGTGCGTACGTGTGTTTGCCGGGGTGGGGTGTGTGTGCGTTGTGCGTGCGGGCGTGCGTGTGGATGTGTGTATGTGTGTGTGTGTGTGTGTGTCCTACATAAATATCCATATATTTATGTCTAAATATGTTTCTATATATATCTATTTATGTTATAATCTATTCAGTTTATTATGTTGTATATATTAATATATGGCCTATATATTATTTATATATATGTGGCCTATATATACATATATATAAATATATATTATATATTAAAGAATATTATATATATAGATATATACTATTATTGTATATATATATAAACACATACACATATGTGTGTGTGTTGCGCACAATACACAATATATCTATTATAATGTATATAATAAATACATATATATATATGTATACATATGTATATATCTATGATAATTATGCGGATATATGCGTATATATATATATATATATGCACACGTGCTTGTCTATACTCACATACATACATATATAACTATACATACATTTATGTCTATACATACATTATATATACACACATATATTTTTCAACAACCATTCACGCCACGGCAGGCCTTTCTCAATTCACTATTGAGAGATTATTTGGCAGTGCCATCCATGCCCAACTGGATGCCCTTCCTAATCAACCGCAGTTAGACGCGCTAATACTTATACCATGGCGGTGACTTCTCCTATGACACATACATTTTTTTTTTTTTTACTTTTCAAAGCGATATGTCACCTTCTCGCCGTGAGATCGGCGAGATGACAGAGAAAAGGGAGGAGGAGGGGTAGCGTCATGGGACATGTTGGTGCACGATTTTTATTATGGAGAAACAACCTGATTTTTTTCATGCCTTTACAGGAAAAAGGTTGTCATGTGACACTATGACGGTGCGTGGGGACTGGGGAGGGGAAGGGAGCACGTTGTTGGTGCACGTAGGCTGTTGGTGGAGGGTTGAGTTTGAAGGGGTAAAAAAAAAAACAGTTAAATGTTCACTGTGCCCATAAATTCCGCTACTTATATTTACATATGTACTCACACACACATATATGTACTTATATAGAGAGAGTATGAATAAAAGGAATGATCCTACTAAGGATAACAGCTCAAGAGAATGGAGCAAAGGAAGGCGAAAGAAGCGTAGCAGGGCGACGAGGAGCAGGAGGACGAGGGAGCGAGGGAAGCCGGAGGAAGGTGCGAGGTATACACTATGCTTTTCGTGTCACAGGATTTTTGCCAAGGCTGTGTGAAAAGATGATATTTCATTGCTAGTGCTCTCTCACCGGCGCGCTCCCAACAATTCCTGCTGGATCTCTTCAACAGGATTTTTTAGGGAGGCACAGCGCCAACGGGATGGAGGGAGGCTAAAATGCAAAAATATTGATGATCAGTTGCAGAAGATAATCAACTTCAGGCTGTCATCGCTTTGGGGAAAAGTAATCGTGTTGACAACAATCGAGTTTAAAAGATTCATATCGACCACTGGTTTTACCGAATGTATACACTGTGACACCACAATATAACAGTGATTTTGAATCCTTACTCTACCATACACAATCGTGTCATACTCATAAAGCTTAAACGATTATTTAAGAAGAACATTTCCCAACTTCATACTGAAGTTTCTTACCGAAAGGGAATTGAAGGAACGAGGGGGTTCGATTCCCTGTGTTGGAAAACCAGCTGCGAGGGTGCCACAAAAGTGAAGTCATAAATGTACGTAGTGTTGGCCTTAGTTCAATCACTGCCTCCTTGTTTAGGTTTCAAGTCTTACTGACATATCCTCCTCTACTTTGTACAAGATGTCATCCTCTAAACCAGGTATCCCATCTACCTGATACCAGATCTCCTTTAACTTATACGAGACCTCACTGTAGAACAACAAAGCAAGGAACCACCATAAGGGGACCAGCTGATCACTCATCAATATTTTCATCACAGTCCGTAAAGGAAAACGGGAGGATGCAAA